GTGCAATGGCACGATCTCGGCTCACCGCAACCTCCGCCTCATGGGTTCAGGCAATTCTCCTGCCTCAGCCTCCTGAGTAGCTGGGATTATAGGCATGCGCCACCATGCCCAGCTAATTTTTTGTATTTTTAGTAGAGACGGGGTTTCACCATGTTGACCAGGATGGTCTCAATCTCTTGACCTCATGATCCACCCGCCTCGGCCTCCCAAAGTGCTGGGATTACAGGCTTGAGCCACCAACCACGCCCGGCCAGTGTAAACATTTTCTTTTAGCTCTAAATGTTTTATTAGGTTGAACCATATAAAATCATCAATATTTGAATATTTTTACCTACACTATAACAATATTTATGGTAAATCTAAGAATTGCCTGTTATATTTGGATATTTCAAAATATTCAAAACTCATGGCTGTGATCAAATATATAATTTCCTTTCTCGGTACTGTTTCTTTTCTAGTGTTTCCTTAGTGAATAGCACCATCTTTCCATCTGTTTGAACTAGAAACTAAGGATTCCACATTTGACCTACCTCACTATGCAGGTCTAATCCATCAAAACTTCTCATCTATTTTACCTCTTATAAGTGCCATAAAGACTTCCATTCCTCAGAGTATGTATTGCTGATGTCTTAGAGAAGGCAAATTTTATAATCTTTCCAGAATTAGAGCACTAGGTTAACCTACTAGCTAACCTGATCCCAGTCTCCTTCCCCATGGAATCCAGAGAGGTATTTTCCAAATGATCCTTTAACTACCCACTTTCTACCCCAACCCTGTGTTCTCGGAGTAGCCCACTTTGCCAGTCTCTGACCCTTGTTCTCTAACTGTAGCCACATTATTTCCTTTCGGTTTATGCGGTGTACACCGTCTCACCTTCCACAGGATCTCTGCAAATTCTGCTTCCTCTGCTGGAGCATGATCTACCTCTAGCTTCCTCTGTTCTTTCCACCTAGTTAACACACACTCGTCTGTTAGTTCATATCCTGACCATCCATCTTGGCCCCTCAAGCAACTTTGTTTAATGCTGGTATGGGACTGAGTTACTCTTTCTCAGACCATGTATAGGAGGCTATAATGGTTCAGTCAGTGTATTTTTTACTTCATGTTCTTTCTCGCTAGACTTTAAGACCATGAAAAGGGACACTGCTGATTTTGGGGCACTGAAGCTGCCTTTGAAAAATTATAACTGAGGAAATTATGACAGTGAAAGAAATCAGAGCTAACTGACTCTGTCTTGCTTCTAAACCTTAAGCTGTTCTTGTTCGTTCCTGGCGTAGGCTGAACTAACTTTGGGAAGGAATTCAGTTCATGGTTTGACTATGAAATGAAATTGATAACAGCCCTTTCCCAAAAAGACCCCCTTCTTTCCTGGGGTCCAGCCTGCCTTTGCAGGACTAACAAATTAGCTACAAGATTAGAAATTATGATTTAGAGGTCATGCACCCTCTGGTTCCAAGAATCTGAACCTCCCCAGTTTGCTCCTGGGGGTAACTATCATAAAATCCAGATCAGTACTTGAGATATGCTGCAGACCCTGCACTGGATGGATCAGCTGACACCACCCAGACCAGTCATCTGGCCCAACCAGTTCTGCCATCGCACCCAGGAACAAAAAACTAACTTCAACCCCCACCATTCCGTCTCCAAGCTGACCAGTCAGCACTCCTCACTTCCCAAGCCCCAAGCCACCAAGTTAGCTTTGAAAATTCTGGTTCCGGAATGCTCAGGGAGACTGATTGGAGTCATAACTAAACTCCGGTCTGCCGCACAGCGCGCTCTGCCTGAATTACTCTTCTCTAGTGCAATTCCCCTGTTTTGAGTAAGTCAGCTCTGTCTAGGCAGTGGGCAAAGTGAACCAATTGTGCAGGTACAGTACCATTGTGCCCCATAAGCTCAAGAACAAAATGCAGTGCCTGGCACAGAGTAAAAGCTCAAAAAACAGGTATTGGCAAAGAACAGTATCCAAGCATATCAGATAAGAATAAGGTTGTCAGTTCTTTCTGTACGTTAAAATTCTGTCCACAACTCACAGCGTTTTTGTTTGTTTCTTACTTGCTCTGTACAGATCAATTCACCAAACAGTTTATTAATTTTCCTTCTGAAATTCCCAGTATATTAAGCTCTGAAGGACCCAAAACAAAGGTTCTATGTTTACCATGCCTTCATTCTAAATTAACTGTGCCCTAATTTTCATGCTTCAATAACATAGCTTTGTTTTGTTTTTCTTAACCTGTCTCCAAACTCTAGCCATGGGAATTCATATTTGACTCCCCTATTACCCTGTCAGCCTCCTTTTTGTAGTAAATGAGATATTAAATTATTTTTATTTTGATTGTTAAAGTTACATGAACTAAATAATATAACATGTTATGTTCTTATATGTGATATTCTTAAACATATTTTAATTTTTGTGGTTCATTTAAAGATTGTATATCATAGGAAAGAATGTCCTATTTTATTACATTTTATAATTATCATTGCATTGCTACAGAAATTTTCATAAGTCTAAATTGTCAAAAATTTTAAAGAAGAAATAAAAGACCCATGCATCTCTTGTACCCAAACCTGCCAACGTATAGAAGGGGACTCTCTGAGGTGCAGATTAAAGGTGTTTCTAGCAGAGGGGAAGAAGAGCAATCATTGTATTGCTGCCTTTCTTTTCTCACTAAAATAGGATTGCTCCCTCCGGTGCAATTTCTAGTGCTTCTTTGTTTCTGGTCCAGTTTTACATGACTTAAGCAGTAAAGCTAGTATAACTTCCCTAGAGAGATAATTTCCTGCAGTTTAATAGATTTTTTTATTAGAATGCTTTTCCCTGTTGATCAGCCATTATACATATATATTCATTACTTAATTTCCTTCCATTACATATGGTCATTATGTAAGAAGAAAATGTTCAAAGTTCTAATTCATAATGTTTATGATGAAAAGTAATATATTATCATTAGCAGTAGCCATATTATTATTATTCGGAAATACCCTAAGTAAATACTATGGGCTTGGCTTTATGTGAATACTCTGTATTAATACTATTTTTTGTCTTTTTAAATAGAAAGTGGTGGGAGAACTTTTTTAATAATTTTGATTCAAAAGGTAATTGAATTGCCTCATTGAGTTATGGAGATTAAGTTGAATACTTCAAAAAGAATAAAATGTTACCAAATACTAACATGTAAATAACATATGCTAAGGAATAATCAAATTAATTAGAACTAGTTCATAATTTTATTCTGCCCATCTAGTCAGTATTCTTTTGAAATTTGTTAACTGACTCCTCTAAGCAGAACAGAATTACAATTATGGATTTATGACACAATGGCGAATCACAAGCATGAGCACAACTAACAAGCTTTTCATTCACTGCACTGCATTTAAATATCAATCCAACAGAACTTTGCCTGAAACACAAATAAACATCCCCTTGTTCAGCAGAATACAAAGCTGATTCTATACAATGATTCTGATCAGTGAGAGAGGGTAGCAAAGGGCTGAGAGATGTTAGATGGCAGGAATGCTATTGATTTATCATCAATGTAAGTACTTTTTTTTTGAGACGGTGTCTCACTCTGTTGCCCAGGCTGGAGTGCAGTGTCGTGATCTTGGCTTACTTCAACCTCCATCTGCTGAGTTCAAGCGATTCTCCTGCCTCAGCTTCATGAGTAGCTATGATAACAGGAACTCACCATCTTGCCTGGCTAGTTTTTGTATTTTTGGTAGAGATGGGGGTTTCACCATGCTGGACACGCTGGTCTTGAACTCCTGATCTCAAGTAATCCACCTGCCTCGGCCTCCCAAAATGCTGGGATTACAGGCATGAGCCAGCCTGCCCAACGTAAATACTTTTAATAATGGACTAGCTCACCTTTACACTTGCTTTAGACACACAGAAATGAGATAAAAGTATAGTAAGAACACGAAATTGGAATATGCTCTCAGATAAGAGATGATTGTTTACAGTTGTACAACTTAAGTAAACAATATAATTTAACTCCTTTTGTAAATACCTAGATACGCAAAATCGTTATATTCTCTTAACATAAATTGCATTTTATTTCTGTTATGTTTCAGTGTTTTAGTACACAATTTAAAAAACTATATCAGTTATTTTTATTAGGGTATATATCAATAATTATAATTCCAAAGGTTTTATTCATGACTAGAAAACAGGTTCTGACAATTTCTTAATCATCTTTGTAAACCTGTGCCACATACTTAGTAAGAAATTATCCTTTGAACTGTTTTATCATAGGGCTGCGCTCCAAATTTTAATTACTTTGATGAAAACTGTTCTTTACTTTGCAGCTGGATGGTGATTATCATCAGGAGGGCCTATAGATGATATCATAGAAATCTGAATCTAAGATTGCAGAAAATTCTAAGACAAGCATCCCAAAAGGATAAGTTGTCCTTGTTTGGAGTAGGTAGCCGAAGTTAAAAATTTTGACCTCTCATCAACAACTGCTTAACAATTTTGAAATAGTATAGATAAGGTAAAATTGTCAAGATGCTAAAATTTGAGCTAATGACAGCATTCTAAACATATTTCAAGAAGGTCTTTGGGAAATAAACAGTCCATAGTAAGACACCATAACAAACTCTTTCGGTTTGGAATTTACTCAGTGAAGAATGTAGAGAGAAAACATAAGAAACATTTTCTTCAATTCCTTCAGCTTCAGCTCTTCAAGGATAAATTATTAACTAGATTTTGCCACACCCTAGACATTAAAGTATGATCTGAAAAATCACTAAGTAAATAAAAAACAAGTTGTTGAGAATCCCTGTCTTCACACATTCTACTTTTTATGGGACTTAATGTTATCATAAACAATTTATTACTTTTAATACCTCATCTGCATGTCATAAAATTAGACCATATATGTTTTCTCAAATGCTGTCACAGCATTGCATTGTTTGATTTTTATGATGTTTTTTCCGGAGTCAGCATTTTTACAATTTGAGCAGTTCATCAGCCAGCATATGTTTACTGAATGTATCTTTACCTGGTTATGTGCTAGGTCCTGGACATTCATTGACAAAGCAGATGTTGTCTCTGACTTCATGGAGTTTATGGTCTAGTTGGCAAAATAAGGCAATAAAGAAATAATCATGGTTAATCTGAAGTGTGTAAAATGATACAAGAAAAAAAGAGAAGGGCAGAGTATTATTATAATTGAAAACAAAGCTTAGCACAATTGCCTTATTTCCCCAAAGAAATATATCCAGAAAGTGTTGATTCAGAGCTCAAACTTCAAAATACAATCTTAGTATCCTATATTCCACATAATACTTAGACTTTCTGAGTACCATCTCCCAGTAATATGCCCTAATTCCAGAGAGAACATAAACAATTAAGGGGGATTATGGAAATATTATTTAGCCACTTCTACCAGTCTCTCCATATAGCTGACACCACAATTGTAATCCATGGGCTTTTTTTTAAACTATATGTGGCTCATATATCATTTTTCTCTTTGGAAAAGAGTATCAATGCGAGTCTTTGGACATATCCTGGCATACTTGAAGATTTTTGTAGAAAGGAAACAATTTTCCTGGGCCATAAACACTTCAGCTTTATAAAAATAGGAACTATGCATTTCTTGTCCACTGTTCTTACTCCCGTTTCTTTGAAAAGTATGTTGTGAATTGTGGACATACCAATTCTGACATTTGAATGAAAGAATCAAGTATAAGAAAAGAAAAGAAAAAAAACCAGAAGATAAAGAATTGCATGCTAAATGAAGGAGACAGTTGAAAAAGGTTTGAACAGAGTTCTTATGCAATGATCTGGTAATCCATTCGTGTAATGCTTGTATATGTTAGTGTTGTTAAGGAGAAGTGTTTCTGGTGTTTTCTTCACTCCATTAAAAATAAACTGACATTACTAGTATACTCCGACAGTTACTGCATATTTAGGTGTTATGGGCAAACAGCAAAGTCCAGTATTGAGTTTGACCTGTCCCTGAGAAACAGCATCTTCTGACAAGCAGGGAGATTTTTCCCCCTACTTATGTCATGGCGGGAAGGATAAAAAGAAAGAGAGGAAGAAAGGAAGCATAGAAGCTGGGATACTGGCATAATGGGAGACAATCTTTCAAGTTATTTTCTGTTAGGATTTTAAAATTATTATTATTTATATTTACAACCTAGTAAGTTCTATAATTTATCACAATAGCTATAGGTTGCCCCAAGCTATTTTCAAAAACTGAAAAAGAACTTTATACTGATAATTTATGAGAATAACAGATTATACTTTACTTAGCAGAGAGTGATAAGATTGGCAGAAGTAAAATATTGTGTAGATCTTTTGAAATATAATCATACCTTGTTTAAAAGAACACATTTGTCAATGAAAATTAAGTCAGATGATCTTTAGAATAAATCTTAAACCTCATAAAGTAGTATTTCTCTTCAAGGCAGGGCTTCATAAAGCTTACAAACAACTTCTTTTCATGAGAATATATGCTTAAAACTAAAATTATTTCTGAAAAATGCAGAATTATAACAATGGTTGCTCATAGGCCTTGTCCTCCCCTTTGAGTGCAGGTGAAAAATCTGTGAATATCGTGAAATATTTATTATTATATTACGCTCTGTGTCAAAAAAAGAGATTATCTGGGTAGTCACAATCTCTTGACAGGAGCACATAAAAAGCAAAATATGTTCTTTAGTTAGTGGCAGGAAGAGACATTAGAGAGATTTTAAGCACCAGAAGAACTTCAGAGGCCCTTGTTGTCTTGAATTTGGTGGGGGCCTGTTCTGCGGTGAGCAGGTGTAGAGAAACCTACTCCCAAAGGCCAAAGGATCTGAGATGTCAAAGAGAGAGGCTGAGAAGTCCAGTTTCTCAGGGGAAAAAAAATAATAGGAAATTACAGGCAGAAGCCATGTCTCAGGTGGCCGTGAGATGGTGGACCCCAGCACCCACCCTCCAGAAGATGTCCTATAGCAAGTTTTTGGGGTAAAACATACACAGCTGGTTATGTCTCAGATGTTCTTCCAAATTCTGACCAGTGGAGAGGTTAAATAAGAATCTCTATGAGGGGCTATCTACACTAAAAGCAGTATTTCTCTATAAGGGGTTATCTAAGCTATAGAAACACCTTGGCATACAGGAGTCAAACAGGGGTTAGTATAGCAGTTTTGCCTCAAGTTGGCATCTCTTGCTGTATAACTAGCTGTTTTTCTACAAGGCATCATTCAAGGATCAGAGATGAGCCACTGAGTCAATTCCCAGCTAAAAGCCATAGGAAAAAAAATGCAGTATACACACACATAGAAACTCATACATATATACATACTCATACAATCATGGAGTTTTCCAAAATAATTAAGCTCTAAATTTGAATCATATAAATAGAAGGATTCTCCAGAAATCTACATTTATTTGGTATTCTTTCTTTTTTTTTTTTTGAGATGGAGTTTCGCTCTTGTTACCCAGGCTGGAGTGCAATGGTGTGATCTTGGCTCACCACAACCTCCAACTCCTGGTTCAGGCAATTCTCCTGCCTCAGCCTCCTGAGTAGCTGGGATTACAGGCACGCGCCACCATGCCCAGCTCATTTTTTGTATTTTTAATAGAGACGGGGTTTCACCATGTTGACCAGGATGGTCTCGATCTCTTGACCTCGTGATCCACCTGCCTCGGCCTCCCAAAGTGCTGGGATCACAGGCGTGAGCCACCGCGCCTGGCCCTATTTGGTATTATGTCTATGAGTAAATATGCTATAATACATTGTCTTTAAAAAAACACTTTTAGACTGAGGCATTATTTCTTAATCTTTCCTGTTTTTTAAAAGGTAATTTATTTCCAGTCTACAATCAATAGAAGCACAACGATGCCTTGTATTAGTCTTATCAGGTTCACATCATCAAGAATAACTTCTTATTTTATTCGCACTAATCCGACACTTGACTGACCTCTCAATACTTTTAATCAAATGGTGGTAATACCAGAAAACTAGCACTCAGAAAAACAACAGAAATACCTACTTATATTTGGATCACGTCTTACAAATTCTGAAAAACTTCATACCCAAACTATTTTGCAATTAAAAGAAACATAATTAAACTAGCAAAGCATTTTTGCATATTATATTTTATTATTGAAATAATCTTATGTAATATGTTCTTAGTACCTTCATTTTGCAGAAATTGAACCTGAACACTGAAGAGCATTGAAAGCTTATATAAATGACCTTTATGAGTCAAGCACTAGCATACTGAAGAGGAGAAATGGGATTACAGCATAAAATTAAAACTTACTATGAAGTATCTTACAGTGGGAACACTTCTAGGTTTCAGGCAAGGTGGTTTAGCCGTATTTCTTCGTCTTCTATATCCTCCGAAACCTGAAATATTAAACATTGTCTTCCTTTATATATTGCTTTAAAAAACCAAATCTGTGGATGTGTCTTTAATACTTTTTACTACTTATCATAAAAAATTGACTGAGTCTACTACTTCACAATCAGTTGCAGTGACAATGTAGACAATAGATTCAATTATTTTTCACTGATATGTTAATATTTTATGATATATGTAATTATGATTTATTATTGTATTTTGATATTAATCTGGTGATAATATACATAATACATGCTCAAATATTAGTCATTGCATCATAAAAATAATTCCTAACTGTACCCAAGTATGATTTAAAGGTAAGAAGTGATTACTCTCTTCAATGCTCCTGCGACACTACCCACTAAGGTTCATATTAGAGTGAGAGGTGTTGTACTGTAGCAGATGAAACCTAAGACTGTAAAATAGTATTCAGGGTTCTGAAGCTGAATAAGGCTGTGATCATATCAGCAAAGTGGAAATACTACCTCCCCAAATTGGTAGTTATAAGGATTGTAAAAGGTGGTCCCAGTAGAATGACTGGCGCATTGTGAGAGTATAATTAATATTAGTCTTTGCTTTCATGATTACTGGTGGTGGTGGTGGTTTTTATCAATTACATCTATGTGTATCTTGCCTATTATTTTTAGTATATAGTTTTACTCTAATGCAAAAAAAATTTAAAACTTCAGAGGCAAAATGTGACAAAATACAAGGTACTTTTATCAGAATTAAATTGTGTAAAGCAAACCGAAGTGCATATGTTAACAGGCACACACAGAAATTCTTTACAGGGTTAGCCTTCCAGCACCTGGGGGGACTGGATAAACAGTCTCCACAATGCTGTTGTCTTGAGTCTAACGCTGCAGCGTGGCACCCGGTGGGCAGGCAGTTGTTAGGAGTACATGAATGTAAAATCAGAACAAGGACAATCTGGAACCTACGAGCATGAGTTAGGACCTATAACTAGATATCTAAAACTAGATAGATAGTTTTCAATCTATCCCTATAGATTGAAACCTGTGTCAGTTCTCACTATCTCTGATCTTGAAACCTGTGAGTTTGAAAACAAAACAGAGGCCGGGCGCGGTGGCTCAAGCCTGCAATCCCAGCACTTTGGGAGGCCGAGACGGGTGGATCATGAGGTCGAGAGATCGAGACCATCCCGGTCAACATGGTGAAACCCTGTCTCTACTAAAAATACAAAAAATTAGCTGGGCACGGTGGCGTGTGCCTGTAATCCCAGCTACTCGGGAGGCTGAGGCAGGAGAATTGCCTGAACCCAGGAGGCAGAGGTTGCGGTGAGCCGAGATCGCGCCATTGCACTCCAACCTGGGTAACAAGAGCGAAACTCCGTCTCAAAAAAAAAAAAAAAAAAAAAAAAAACAGAAAAGCTGGCACCTTTCATTAGGTGGCAAAAGGCACACCTTGTGCAGGAGTCAGGAAGGCTGAAGGGAAATTCAGGAGAATACGAATTACAGAGCAGTCACAGCCTTGACCAACGCCCCATACCAAAATGAGGTAACCCAGCTGATTAGCCACAAGTTGTGAGCTGCAAAATGGTTGCTGTGTAACTTCCCCCTTTAAAATCTCACACAAAAATGTTCTGCAGTGCCCTGTGCTTAGAACCATACATGGAAGGGGATTCAATGAAATGTAGTTGTACCCAGTCAAACTGACATATCACACAGCCACCACACCAGTAAAGATTAAAGTAAAAAAGATAAGATCTTCCTAAGATTGTTAGAAAAAAAATGTTTCCTTTTCCAAAAGTCAGAAGTGACATTTTGCCTTATACAAAGGGGATGGAGCATTCAGAGATCAATTATTTCCATATGTCACCAAACCTAGCTCATGTCTGTTTGCTTTATTTCCAAGAGAAGCGAGATAAAAGGGAGAAAGTAAAAGACAGTCTTAATATTCTGGAGTATGATTTTCAGTTCTTTATAATTTCATATTGTTATGCTATTAACATAATTCTATTATCAAGTTCATGAATAAGCAACAGTTTGACAAAGCTTTTCATGAATACCAACTATTCTACTGACTATATATAATTGTAATTAAAATATTAAAATTTGGCTTACAATCAGATAATTGAGCCAATAATTATACTTTATTTTTAATCAGATTTGTTTTTGTATTCTCAATATTATTCTTTAGTTATCACAAAATCTAAAGATGTATCACATATGGAATACTATTTTTTTATACTGGAAATAAACTATTCTTGAGACTAAGCGATTTAAAAAATGTCCTCTCCCTTTTCTTCTAATTTCAAATAGATTCCAATTTAATCTTACTCAACAGATTGGCAGAAAGCATTAAGCAGACACATTCTTAAGAATATTCAGCCCAAGTCATGTTTTTTTAATGTGATAATTACAACTGGGTATATCTATAGAATGGTTAGCTTGAGGCTTTAGCAAATAAACTGACTCATATTCTACTCTCTTAGTAATGACATTGTTATTTGATTCCTTTTTTTAAATGGCTTCACTAATAACAAGTTATATTATTTGTCTTATAATGTATTTTACCTTCAAGACTAAATTTGCTATTAGAAAACATTTCCCCATTAAAAAATATTATTTCAAAAAAAAAAATGGCCAAAGCTTAAAGTGGAACAGAGATTCTGTTCCATACTCCCAAGAAGTACTGAAACTTAATTTTATCAAACATAAAATTACCTTGCTTTAAAAGTGTACTAAATTGGCTATCAGTAGTGTGAATGAAAGCTCTGGATACACGTCAGTAAAGATGAGAGAGAGAACAGGGCGAAATGATGAAGCAAAAGTCTAAAAGTAGAGTAAAATTAGTCAAACCACTAATCTGCTACTTAAAAATGCAAGTGTTAGTTTCATCAGGATAACTTATGGGAGAATGGTTTGGGCAGTGGACAAGAAAATCAAAACTCCTAGAATACATTACTCCATTCTTTTATAAATTAACAAAATAGTCAAATTTTATTGCTGTTTTTTTTTCCTCTTCAAGCTCCGGTAATAATTAAAGCTAACTATTACAAAAGGGACAACTTAGGAGTTAATGGTCTTGATGAATTTGAAAATATATGGGCAGAGCTTCTTAGTGGTATGAATTTTATTTCTATTACATAACTATCTTTCTTGGTATAATTCTGGAATTAAGAAATGTACTTAACTGCACCTTTGCAGCCCATGATGATATTGCTTTAAATGTATGATTTAGTCCAGGGCAAACTAATTTTCTGCAGTAAAACCCATTTCTTGACTACAAACAAAATCTACTAAATAAACTTGCTTTGTGAGCAATAAAGATTTTTTTTTTTTGAGACGGAGTTTCGCTCTTGTTACCCAGGCTGGAGTGCAATGGCGCCATCTCGGCTCACCGCAACCTCCGCCTCCTGGGTTCAGGCAATTCTCCTGCCTCAGCCTCCTGAGTAGCTGGGATTACAGGCACGCGCCACCATGCCCAGCTAATTTTTTGTGTTTTTAGTAGAGACGGGGTTTCACCATGTTGACCAGGATGGTCTCGATCTCTCGACCTTGTGATCCACCCGCCTCAGCCTCCCAAAGTGCTGGGATTACAGGCTTGAGCCACCGTACCCGGCCAAGATTTTCATAGCTTTCTTTATGAGGTATAAGGATGACTTTTGCATTTTTACTATTAAGATGCTTTAAAATTTTTCTGATATCCTTGTTAGACTTCAGTTTATATAGTATAATGGTGCTTATAAAAGAGCAGCAACTTTTGATAAAGTGAGAATGATGTTTATATTGTTAAATCCAAAGAATTAAAAATATGAGGCATTTAGTACTTGTTTCTTGGCAATTGCCTAGTTAATAACAAGGGAAGGAGAGCAATGCCATGTTGGTTTCAGGGAAAACAGCAAACTGGATAATTTTCAGAAGCAGAATTTTGAGTACAAAGAACAGGCTGAGAGAGAATAAATATTGTATGATATCTTTTTTGAAGCATAAATGTATGCAAGAGACCTTATACTGTTTAATTATGATAATGTAGCGGACTGGAGTTATAAACAGAATCAAAGTACAAGTGAAAGTGGTTGGAAAAAGTAGTTAGAGGATTCAACATTATTTAACAGTAAATCAGTTTTTATAATGTAATACTTTTTTTTAAGATTTAAAAAATTTTTACAATAGTTTTTTTGTTGTTTCTTTTCTGTATTTTCTAAATAGACACCTGAAAGAGTCTGCCAATTGTATAATTAGAAATACACAATACCACTCTCACTTCTGTCATCAACCACAGATTCAAGAGGTTCACAAAACTTCTTAATTCACCAACAAAACTCACAGAACTCACTGAAAGCTGCTGTATTAAAATTGGCCAAGGCAAAAAGCACATAGGGCAGAACCCAGGAAAAAGGCCAACGCTGTGTTTCCACTGTTCTTTCCCTGAAGAATCGTGACTGTTAATTTCGAGCAGCAACGTATGACAACACTCATGGAATTGTGCCAACCAGGGAAGCTCACGTGAGTCTGCGTATCCAGGATACTAATTAGGGCTCCATCTCATAGGCCCAGCTGACTGCCCACCTGGCTGCTCTCAACTTCCAGCATTTCAGGGACTAAGAGGTATCACAAGATCCAAAAATCCCACCCTAAATCACACTGTTGCCTCACTGGCTGTCCCAAGGTTCCCAGGCAAAGACACTTCTATAGGGCATGAAATGACAGGGGCTTAGCTATTACCTCCCAGAAGACTAGGACAAAGGTTAGAACTTTCCTTGGCCAAGGTTAAATTCTTTACTACTCATCTCAAGAAAACAGCACAGAAGTTATAAATTATCTGGGAGGTTCATTATGGGTGAGTTTAACTTTCTGTAATGTTTTGATGTTTACAGTTAACATATATTCTTTCTGTGGTAAAGGAAAAGAGTCTTTCCAAAAGAAAGAGAGAAACTTACATAATTCTGACATTGGCCATTGGTTGTCATCCTGGGAAGAACACTAGTCTAAGCGTTTTGGCCTTGGCTTTCACACCAGTGTAAACACTGAAACACTTT